AGTTATTTAAATGGAATTTCTCTATCTTGCTCTTCCTGCTGGGTTTTGGTTTTTTGGGGGTTTTTTGGTTTTGTTTTGTTTTTTAGCTAGGCAATGGGGTTAAGTGACTTGCCCAGGGTCATATAGCTAGTAAGTGCTATGTGTCTGAGTCCGGATTTGAACTCAGGTCCTCCTGAATCTAGGGCTGGCACTTTATCCACTGTGCCACCTAGCTGCCCCTGGGTTTTGTAGGTAATATACAGAAATGCAAATGATTTGTGTGGGTTTATTGTATATCATGCAAGTATAGATAGCTATAGATAGCATTCTTTAGAATTAGATATAGTTTTCTTTAGTAAATATAATTTTATTACATTGTGATCCAAAATGGGTACATTTAATATTCCTGCTTTTCTGCATTTGTTTATGAGGTTTTTATACCCTAAATACATGGTCATGATGTTACTTCATTGTCTATGGTACCTTTCAGCAAAATATAGTTTCCCTGAATATCTGTTTTAGTTAGGTCTATTTCTGCTTTTGCTGTTGCTTTGTCTGAGATCGTAATCGCTACCCCATCTTTTTCACTTTAGCTGAAGCACAATAGATTTTGCTCTAGTCTCTTATTTTAACTCTGTGCGTTTCTTTTGGTTTCAAGCATGTCTCTTATAATCAATATGTTGTTGGATTCTGTTTTCTAATCTATTCTACTATAATCTTCCATTTTATGAGTTTATCCCATTTGCATTCACAGTTATGACTGATAATAATTATGTATTTATTCTCTTCTATTTATCCTTATCTTTTTTTTGCCTTTTTCAAAAATCTGTTTAGTTTTTGATTACTGCCTTACTTAATCTATACTACCTCTTACCACCATTCTCCCTTTCCCTTATTCTTTTCCCTTCTTACTTCCCTTTTGGGTAAGATGAATTTCTATACCCAACTCTGTGTGTGTGTGTGTGTGTGTGTGTGTGTGTGTGTGATATGTATGTACGTGTGCATATAGTTCCTTCTTTGAACCATTTCAGATGACACTGAGGTTCAAGCATTGCCAGCTCTCCATCACTTCCCCCTCTATTGTAAAAACCCTTGTTTACCCACCTCTTTTATGTGAGATAAGTTTCCTCATTCTTTGTCTTCCTTCCCCCTTCTCCCAGTGCATCCCTCTTTCTCACTCTTTCCTTCTTTTTCTGAGTCAATCTCAACAGAATAGACTCACACTCATGCCCTCTGGCTACGTACACTCAATTTAATAGTCTTAATTATGATAAAATTCTTAGGTGTTACATCTATCATCTTCCCATACAGGAATGCAAACATACCCTTTGAGCCAGAAATACCACTTCTAGGTCTGTATCCCAAAGAGATGGTAAAAATTGGAAAAGGACCCACATCTACAAAAATATTTATAGCAGCTCTTTTTTGTAGTGGCCAAGAATTGGAAATTGAGGGGATGCCTATCAACTGGGGAATGGCTGAACAAGTTGTGGTATATGAATGTAACGGCATACTATTGTTCCATAAGAAATGATGAGCAGGCAGACCTCAGAAAAACCTGGAAAGACTTACATGAACTGATGCTGAGTAAAGTGAGCAGAACCAGGAGAACATTGTACACAGTAACAGCAGCACTGTGCAATGACCAACTTTGATAGATTTAGCTCTTCTCAGCAATGCAAGGATCTAAGACAATTCCAAAAGACTCATGATGGAAAATTGCTATCCACATCCAGAGAAAGAACTATGGAGTCTGAATGCATATCAGACCATATTATTTACTCTCTTTTTTTTGTTTCTTCTTTCTCGTGGTTTTTCCCATTGGTTCTAATTCTTCTTTACAACATGACTAATGTGGAAATGTTTGACATTAATGTATATATATAACATATCAGATTGCATGCTGTCTTGGAGAGGGGGAGGGAAGGGAGGAACAGAAATTTTAGAACTCAAAATCTTATAGAAGTGAATGTTGAAAATTAAAAATAAATAATAAACTTTTTTTAAAAAAGAAAAGGACTGCAGTTTCTTTATTGAGTCCCTTATGTTTTCTCTTTCATGTTTGTCTTTTTATGCTTCTCCTGAGTCTTGTGTTTGAAAGTCTAATTTTCTATTTATACCATTTTTTCATCAGGAATGTTTGAAAGTCCTTTTTAATTAAATGTGCACTTTTTCCCCTGTAGAATCATATTCAGCTATTCTAAGTTATTCTTGGTTGTGATCCTAGCTCCTTCACCTTCCTATTCTGAGTCCTTTATTCCTTTATAGTGAGAGGTAACTGCTAAATCTTGTGTGATCCTGACTTTAGTTTCATGGTATTTTAATTTTTTCTTTCTGGTTACTTGCAGGATTTTCCCCTTGACCTGGAAACTCTGGATTTTAGATATAATATTCCTGGGAATTTTCATTTTGGGGTATTTTTCAGTAGGGATCTCTTTTATCCCTTTGAGGAAGTGATTGATGGATTCGTTCAATTTCCTCTTCTGCTTCTATGCTATCTGGGTATTTTCCTTGATAATTTCTTGAGATATGATGTCTAGGCTCTTTTTTCTTTTTCTTTTTTGATCATGGTTTTCAGGTAATGAAATGATTCTTAAATCATTTCTCCTCGATCTATTTTCCAGGACATTTTTATATTTCATATTTTCTTCTATTTTTCAGTCTTTTGACTTTGTTTTATTGTTTCTTGATGTCTCTGAGTCATTAGCTTCCACTTGACCAATTCTAACTTTTAAGGAGTTATTTTCTACAGTGATTTTGTAGCTCTTTTACCAAGCTGTTAATTCTCTTTTCATAATTTTCTTGCATGGCTCTCATTTCTTTCCCCTATTTTTTCTACTACTCTTAATTTTAAAAATCATCTTTTTGCTTTTCCTCTTTTCTCTTTCTTTAGCTCTTCTAAGAATTCTTGTTGGACTTAGATTTATTCTGCATTTTTATTTGAGGCCTTGCTTGTAGATGTTGTCAAGTTATTGTCTTCTGAGTTTGTATCTTGAGCTTCCTTTTCATCATAGAAGTTTTTATGATCAGATTTGTTTGCTCCTTTTTCCAGCCTATTTCTTGACTTTGGATTTTATGTTAGAGTTGGGTTTTGCTCGCCTCTGGGGCTGAGAGCAGGGATGGTAAGCTTCTGTGGCTAAATCTGGGGACTTGTAGGTTTTCAGTGCTTCCAAGATGGTGTGATATGGGGAGAGTTCTGGTCGCCATCCTCCTAATCTGTACTCAGGCTCTTAAGCAGGTAGGTCCTCTACTTCCTCACAACCACAGACCTTAACCACTCCTCTTCACCCTGGAACTATGACCTGGAACTGGGTGACGAGTGAAGGAACTGCCAAATGTCCCTAGTTTTGTACCCAATGCTAACATAGGTGTTCCCTGTAATATCTTTTTTGACCTAGTGGGCACTCCTGCTGCCACTATACTGCTGCTCCCACTGCCTCCAGACCCCATATACAACTGCATTCTCAACCAACTCCCACCCTAATGTCCACAGACCTCTCTTTTTGTTCTCCTAAGCTGTCCCGGGATAGAAAACTGAGTTACTGTGATGTTGTTGTTGTTGTTGGTGTTGGTGTTGTTATTGTTGTTATCCCACTCAGAATTTGATTTGGCATGTTTTTAAAAAGTTGTTTAGAGGATTGGCTTGGGAGAGCTCAGCAGAAGTGTTTCAGAATGCCTTTTTGGCTCAACCCTCATCAATCTCCTCTTAAAAGAGAGAGGCTTATTAGTCACTGAACCTTACTAGAGAGGAACTGAGGTGGTCAGTAGATACACTGAAGAGATAAAACCAAGAAGCTAATAGCAGAGAGAAGCTTGGCAGCCATGAAGACCAGTGGAGATATGGGACCAAGAGGCCAGTGAGTACTCAAGATAACTAGGGTACAACATCTACTTACCCCCCAGTAGAAAACAGTAGAAGCAATGTAATGACATCGCCAAAAGTCATTGGTAGCACAGCAATGTAGTGACAAAGATATGATCTGTTCCACCATACAGACTAGCCACACATGTTCCCCACGTGTGGGCCTTTCTGCACATTATATGGGTTTTTCCACTCTTCCGATGAATGGTATAGGTAGAAAGCTTAAGGGGGAAATGCTTTATTCTTCTCACTCTATTTCATTAAATGCCTTTATATCTTCTGGCTGGTTAGTAAAAGTAAACAAATTGGCAAAGACTATGGTTGAGCTATGAATTTTTGAGCACCTTGTACCTGATGTAGATTTTCTCATCAGTGAGGAGCATCCCAGTGCTGCAGAAACGTGCCTTCCCATCCTGTACTCATACAGTTGCTTTTTTGAATGCAAGGGCAGCACTTAACAGCTGTAGCTCCTCAATGAATGTTTGCTCAATCTGTTTGTTCAACTGATAGACCCTCCTCTGCTTGGGGGAGGGTCAGGTCTGGGTCTGGTTCTAGCTTGCTAAGAGAGCTGTCCCCTGCTTAGCCAGAGCCTGAGGAGGCAGAGGGAGCACTGGTCTTCAATTCAGGAGACCTAAGTTTGAATCCTGACTGACTTTTATGGTTTATACTACCTTACCTGACTTCTCTAGACTTCGGTTTCCTTATCTATAAAACTGAACATTATAATTCTTCTACTACCTGCCTATTGTTGAAAAATGTCTTTGTAAGGACATTTGTAAAAAATGGGATATCAGGGGCAGCTAGGTGGTGCAGTGGATAGAGCACCAGCCCTGAAATCAGGAGGATCTGAGTTCAAATCTGGCCTCAGACCAAACACTTGACACTTACTAGCTGTGTGACCTTGGGCAAGTCACTTAATCCTAATTGCCTAAAAAATAATAGGATATCATATGAATGTGAGTTATTAAATGACAAAGAACACTTAGACCTGAGGGGGCTGGGAGGAAGTAGTTTTATTGAGAGGGAGGATGAGCAGGGCTGGGTAGTGAGGACTACAGGTGGGGAAAAAGACACGCAAGAGAAAGACCTGAGACATCTGGGTGGAATGTTGGGGAAGAAGGGATTAGAATTAGATTCTCATAATCTATGTTGGCTGATCTCAGGCCATCACATTGTCTTCCTGATAAAGGCTATGCCGGGGTACATAGGAAAACTTTTGGCGGGGAATAATTCCAGGGCTGTATACAGATCCCAATGGCCAGTGGCGGACAACATGGCGGTAGGACACAGCCATGCAGTCAAAGTAGTTGATGTTCAGTTTACGAGCAATATGGCGACCCAGGAATTCCAGTTGCTGTAGAGGCAAAGAAAGGAACATGATGGAAAGGAGACAGGCCTAATCTGAGGGGAGCAGGGGCCTAGAAAGATCTTGAACTTGGTTTCTCAGAACCTAGACTTGAGGGAGATGAGGCTTTGGTCCTGATTCTCTGTGTAACCTTGGAATAGCCTTTTCCTTTCCTCTTCTGGGTCTTTTTTCTCATGTATAAAATAAGGATAGTGAGGGGGTGTGGGGATTGTTTTCAAGATGTTTTAGGCCTCCTCAGGCTATGAGAGGCACAGTGTGAGCTAAAGAGTCAGGAGATGGAGGCATTCTTGTCCAAAGAATCTTCTAGGCTCTCCCCTCTCCTGGAATGTCTGATGTGAGGTCATAGTCTGGGCAGTAGTGGAGCTACCTGCAAAAAAGACCTCCCACTTGCCCTGGTGGCTCACATTCCTAGAGAAGATCCATAGTCCCCAATTCTCATAGAAACTAGAGTCCTCAACCCAAGACCCTGGCCAGGTTTCTTTATCCAGGAACTCAGCATATATGAAGCTGAATGAATGGCTGATATGTATTAGACAAGTCACTGTTTGTCTTGAGCACACTGTGTCTCTGTGTGTGACCCTACATCTCTGACTACCCCCCCCTTACTGTCTCTTTGCCTGTTGCCCTCTGACTCTTCCTGTCTGCCTCACCCCCTAATTAGATTTCTCTTTCTCAGCTTGTTTCACCTTCTTATTCTGTTTGTGACCCTGACTCTCCCTGTCGCTTCATCTATCTCACCCTCTCACTGTCTCCTTTTCTGTTTCTCTTCTATCTCTCTTTGTTTCTATGTTCCTCTCTTCCTCTCATTTTCTGCCTTCATTTCTCTTTCTGTCTTCTCCTCTGTTTTACCTTCTTGTTTTCTCCATCTTTTTGTTCTCTACTTCTGTTTCCCCTTTCTCTGTCTCTTCCTTTCTGTCACTTTTTCCTGTCTCTGACCTAAATTATTATAATAGTCTTTTAACTGATCTCCCTGCCTCAAGTGTATCCACAGATCTCACTATGACTCCTTTACTCAATCAACTCCAGTGGTTTCCTATTACCTCTAGAATAAAATATAAACTCTTCTGTTTAACTATACAACCCAACCCCAACCAATTTTTCCGGCTTTATTGGACATTGCTCCCCCTCCTGCATTCTGTTAACTAGCTAAATTTCTTTCTCCCTGTTCTTCACACATATTTATAATAATAACAACAATAACAAAGATGTTGTTTTATATTATAATAATGTTAATAATGAGTTATAATAATATAGTCATAATAATAATACCTATAGCACTTTAAGATTTGCAAAGAGCTTTACAAATATTTTATTCTCACAATAATCCTGGTAAGTAGGTGCTATTAATATCCCCATTTTATAGATGAGGAAACTGAGAACTCCTCTATCTCCCATCTCTAGGCCTTTGAACTGATCATCCTGCATTCCTGGAATAATTTCTCTCGTTACCTCCACTTCACAAAGTCCCTTTCTTCCTTTACAATGGCATTTTCTGAATGAAGTCATTCCTGATTCCAAACTGCTAGAACCCACTCCCCGTCAAGCTTCCTTGTATTTAACTACTTTGTAATTGTTTGTATTCATTAACTTTACAATTATGCTGTATATATTTTATGTATATTCACGTATTTTATTATATATTTTATGCCTCTTCCATTTCAAGTAGAGATTATTTCATTTTTTGTACTTGTATCCCAAGAAACTAGTATAGTTCCTGCCATATAATAGGCACATGCTGATTGACTGATTTGATCATAAATGATTACCATTTAAAAAATCTAGTCTATGCAATGTGGGTTATCTGATGCAATGAAAATAGTTAGTGATGTGAGAGGTCAGAGAGTCAGGAGGGGAAGCATGGTGTAAAATGATTAGGAGAGGTGAGTGGACATCACTGGAGGCAGAGAGAAGAGGTCAGCAGGTGAGGGGAGAAAACAGAGGAAAGTCAATGGGTCAGAGGAGGTCAGTGAAGCTTGAGAGATGAGCCTGGGGAGTGAAGTCCTTACCTCATAGTGCTCTGACAGCTTAACCAGTACCAGCGGCTCCAGCTTGTAACCACAGAGGACCAACTGGAAGAAGCACCTGCCGTAGGCTACGACAAGAGGAGGGAACTTCCGAACTGCCCTCACACCCAGGGACTGTCTTCCTCCCTATGTCCCCCACTTAGAAATAAAAGAGACCTGTCTCCTGTCTTCTGTCTATTCCAACCCCTATTCCCGAGCCCTCGTTGACAATCCTTGACTCCCTATCCCTGTCTCTTATTTCACAGCCATGTCCCCATCTTCATCTCCTTGGCCTTTGCCCTAGGACCTCTGGTCTCTGGCCCCTATCCCAGTTCTTTGGACATATTCTCAAATCCCTGTCCTCATCACAATGCCCTCATCGTATTATCAGCACCCCTGTTCTAATGACCCACTCCCCAGAATCCTGTCCCTGTTTTTAACTCCCTGTCTCCATTGCCAATTTCAATGCATTGTTCCCCACTTTCTGTTCCTAACCTGAGCTCCTTTTCTATTTTTCCAGCTCCCTAAATCTGTTCTTGGTTTCTCCAATCCAGCTTCCCAAACCGTTTCTTTAGCTCTTGGAATCTATCCTGAGCACTGTCTTTCTTTGTCCCTACTCCCGTAATCCTGCCTTGAACTTGTCCTCTCCATCCCTAGGTCTCTCCAGGAGCCTGTCTGTTTGCAGTTTCCCATCCTTGTCCCTGCCCCTCACTCATTAGCCCCATCCCATCCCAGTCCTCAACTTACTGTTCCTTTATTCTTAGACTCTTGTCCCTGTCCCTAAGTGGGTCCCCACCTCCCTGGTCAGATTCCCTGCTCCCCAGTCATGTCAAATACCATCAGATCGAAGGGCAAGGCGGATGTAGATGCGGTGCAAGGGCCCTTGACAGACAGTGCGGCCGTGGATGGAGAAGTGGTACATCCCACGAGTATGGTTCAAGACTAGGCGGCGCCTCGGCAATGATGAGATTGCGAGCCACAAACCAATGCCAACCCCGTAAGCAGGGAAACCCCATGTCTCCTGATTGTGCACCTGCAGTCCCAAGATTAGTTAAAGAGGGATTGTCAAAACCCCAGAAGTGAGGAGGGCGGGGATGGAAGGGGGCAGAAGGTGGGTGGATGTGAAAAGATAGATGGATATAAATGGGGGCATAGGGAGGATACAAGAGACAAGACTTCAATGTTTCAATGTAGCTTCAGCTTCATCCATGGGGACAACTCCATCCACATTTTCTCATCCTGTGCCATACTTGTCTGTGTCTTCCCATTGATTCTCCCACAAAGAATCTACCAATGTGCTAGAGGCTTCCCTTTAGGTCTTCTAACATTCCCTAGGAACCAATATAGTCCTTGGTCTGTGCATCTATTATCTCCTATTCTGGCTAGGTGACTAGCCCACCTCCTTTTCCAACCCTACATTTCCTAAACTGATATCTTATATGCTACTTCTTGTAAACAAATCATATGCTGTGGCCTAATTATGCCCACTGGGCATCTCTCCATTGCTTTCTGGGCCATGCACAATTTTGAGTCTTCTAAGATTGTGGTGTTCTATGGTCTAACCTCCATAATGACATTACAAAGATGTGGCTTTGTGTCAGGAAAGAACTTGAGAACATGGGAAGTGCTGTGGGACTTCCCAAATTCAATCCAGCCTACTCTGACTCCTATTCAACTCTGAGTTCAGCTCCTTGTCTATCAGAAATTCTTGTTCAATATGCGTATGCTAAAGGTCTAACTCAATGGACTAGCCACTCAACTGCATGTCATAGTTTGAATGATAGGCATTTCTCATTCATTTGTTTTTTGTATGGATTGTTATGAATGATAGGCATTTCTCATTCATTTGTTTTTTGTATGGATTGTTATGCCAGTCTCCTTTGAGTGGTCATGCATCTCCTTAAGGAGGCTCAGCAGTGTTCAACACGGGGATGGGGGAAGGGTCTAATGTTTTCAACACAATGCCATTCATAAACAGGAGCATCTAGAAGACCTTACCATTTATGAAGGATGTCCTCTATGACAGCTACAAACCATTTTGACTTGCATGTCTCCCTGTTTTATGAATCACCTGATATCAATAAACAACATCATTAAACAAAGCCATGGTTCCATAGGAGGAGGAATAGTGACTTTAGAGTCCAGGACCTCAGATACTTACTGTCTTTGTGACCATTGCCAGACTATCCTGGGCCTGAGTTTCTCCAGCTATAAAATGGGATTGACTGGATGGTTTCTGAGGTCCATTTCAGCTCTAAATAGACAATCCTGTTATCTATAAAGGAATCTGACTCGGAAATTACACTGGTAGCCCATCAGGAATCAGTCATTTACAGCCTAGAAACAGTTAATCGTGTGTGTGTGTGTGTGTGTGTGTGTGTGTGAGAGAGAGAGAG